CATAAAATAAACAACTACTCTTGCAATAAAACCCTCTTGCAGAAGTTCCAATTCCCCTTACGGGGTCGCTGTGTGAATTGTGAATGCGGGTACGGTGCCACGTCGCTGCAATGCTCAACGGATGGACAATGCAAGTGTGCTGGACAGGCCAGTGGCCGACGATGTGATCGATGTGTGCTTGATAACCACGTAAGTTACTTTAGGGTTTAAAGGCACAAGCCACGATGAATTTATGTGAAGCATCTGTTCGATGGATAGTATGGAGCTGCTCACGAAAGCTGTTGATGAGCCGTTCTCGGGGCTAGATGAGCGATAAAGATGGCTTTGATAGCTAGCTAGCATAGCTTGCACTGCTGGATATCTTATCTTAATAATCTAATCTTAACATCCGGCGTGCTGCTTTCTCTCGCATGTCTGCGCCCTCTTGTACGGTGTGCTCTCTCGCGTTTACCCTCTCACCAACGTGCTGTGTCTCTTCGCCGCATCACGTCAACCTTAAGAAAAGCAGAGGCACTCAAAGACGCAAGTCGATCAGATCCTTGGAGAAATCCTCTTCGTGAGTGAGTTAGCACCTGCCCCTAATAAGCACAACGGCCGTGGAACTGTCGCGGCTGGAGAGTGTTCTAAAAGTTCTAATGCCTTCCGTACCGCTGCGACCGCTGTCATCCTTGTCGTTTGCAGATTACATGATGTCTGTGTTCTCTCGCACAACGTGTTCTTTCGTGTTTTTGCTCTCCTCGCAACTCTGTGCCTCTCATTCTTACCACGGTGCAACCTACGAGAAAGCCCTCAGTTCGAATGATTCCTATAGTTCTTCTTCCTTTTTTCATCTGTGATTGTTCTCTTCGCACGTGTTGTCTCACTTTCTAGCGAAATGACACGCCAAATCTATCGTGGCCTGTACCTTTAAGTTCAGTGTCATTGATGGCTTTGTTTGTTCTTTTGCTTTCTAGTGGGCACACACGTATACGGCGTAGCCACGGAATTGGTGACACCAAAATCTCGTCCGTGACTTTTCAGGTTCTTGATCCGAAATCATTGCGCTGCCGGCTAACCAATGGTCAGTGTCCGTCGCAGATCGAGTTCGGAGTGCAGTGGCCCACAACATCCAAAGGTATGACTGAATGGTCAAGTACTTGAATAATAGGAAATTGATCATTGGCAATTCAAGGATCAACAGCACGACAGTCCTGTCCGGGCACCCAGACGGGCTTGGCGACACGAACGTGCGATGGAATGGCACGATGGCTTGAAGTAAACAATTTCAACTGCACCAGACCGGAGTACGGTATAATGGTTTCAAAGGTGAGTTGTAGACACAAGCTGTCTGAGAAGAACGTGCAGAAGGTCACCTGCATTCCAGTACGACGTGCTGAACTCTGGTGAACTGCTGGTGATGCTTCACAATGCAACACGGGGATCGGATCCGATAGATGGCCGCAACCTGGACATCGCCCGGACCGCTTTGCACAGGATTCTTGACACAGAACTACGGTATGTTTCTCTGGCACCTCTAGCGAAGTGAGAATTCAAATCTACTTCTTTCAGGTGGATCATCGTCGAAACAGACCAATCTGAAAGACCTGTGGTTCACGGAGTCATTAGTACTGGCTGCTGGAAAGATTGCAGCCCACGAATCTCCTGAGGGCTATCTGGCCACCGTTCGAAAGCTCACCGACTATGGAGCAGCCGTGTTCAACGTTCATCAGCAAATGCCCTATTTGCAACCGTTTCAGTTCTCCTCAGATCAATAGGTACGTCGGGAGTCCAAAGTTGTCAAATTGGGGCAAAAAATTGTTTGAATACCGTACTTCTGATAGAGAAGCCTCTAACAGATGACCAAATGTATATGGCGATGTGATATATTCATTGACCCAATAACTTCGGTAGATTCGAGAAGATTCCTAAGGCGAAGGCAGAACTTGTTTCAGTTCCTCCTCTGCCACTAGAATCTTCCTCGATTTCACCAGATGTGGTCGGCAAAGGGCAACGCATAGGAGTTAAATCTCTCTGAAAAAACCCGTGCAACGCTTGTTTTCAGTTACACTTCAGGCTTACGACGATAGGCCGTTGAATCTTGGATCCTTGATTACATGAAATACCACGTATTTCGAGCTTGGGTAGAGTCGGAAAAGTGGAGGAAAATAGCGGCAAATAGCGCATTTGCTAAACGGCACAATTCATTCGTGGGAATTTGGAGGAATGTCTTTCGCAGATAGGGCAGTTATAATATCTCCGCCCGTTCCAAAAGGCTGCCCTGTCACCACTCGAAAGTGTGCAGTGGTGCCAGGATCTTATCACCGCAAACAGTGCTAAATACTCCTTTATAGTGGTGCAACGGTCTAAAAGGTGTACATGTGGAAGTAAGCAAACCAGCCCGTTTGGCGTTTCTGCTGGGGCCGTATGCTGAATGTTGGGGAGGGGATGGGGTCCCCGACGGTCGACGGACTACTTCAACTCGGTCCTTAGAAACCGCCTCAATTTGATGCTTACCTCAGGACTAAGCCTTAAAGAGAGACGGACCTGCGAGAGAGCGCAGGTCCCTCTCTTCCAAGGCTTAGTCCTGGGGTAAGCAAACCAGCCCTTTGGCGGAGCTGCTGGACCTAGCTGCACCACTTCGTCATCACTCTCCTACCGTACCGACCAAGTCCGTCGAGCTCGGGGACCCCATCTCCTCCCCAACATTCAGCACACGGCCCCAGCAGAAACGCCAAACGGGCTGGTTTGCTTGTGTGCGCCTTCTCATCCCATGCGCTTATTGATAGGACCCATACTTTGCCCATGGGATGATCTCCTTTGCTTTGCCCAAATGCCCATCAAAACGCAACTACGGATTTGCCCAGGTGGCAAGTTGTATAAAAGGGTTTTTCGCCTAGCCTCATTATTGTCTCCGGGTTTTCTGCGAATAATGCTGATTTACTCCTCTGGCCTGGGAATGAGCCTTTTATAAGGTGAACGGATTAAAGGATAAAGCATTTGCCGTTGATCAATCCCTTTTTGGGATGCGGCACGCATTCTACTTTGTACATTCGTAGTGGCATTTGAATGCGATGTGGCCTATACAATGACTTGCGGGGGCCAGCCGATGTTCAAGTCAGTGTTTTATCCTCCCAGACAAGTCTGGTACCAATTAACCGACCCCGGAGGGATGGAAGGCTTGGTTGGCCCGGGCGACTCACGACCCAGGATTTGATCCCCGGACCGCTCGCGTGGTAAGCGTGCCACTTGCCACTACACCACTTCACCCTACAGCTTCACCAATGCTGATTAATGCTTTCCAGAGTTGTCTGTTGTAAAGAATGAAAATTACAGTGTTCTCCATGGATGCGCTCGACTTTTCAAACGTTCTGCCTAAGTACAACAACTTTATCGATCATCGTCCTGTGGATTTTCCCATGGTCTTCATACATGTTAGAAACGCTACTCGGGTGAGAGTTTGAATTTTTCTGTGGGTTCTGAACCCTTGTTCACTGCTAAATATGCTTCCGTTTTCCGATTTCCGATTGAGACAATCCTTCTGTTCACTCCCCTACCAGCCATGTTTACTGAACCCTGTTTCAGGTGTTCTACAGTATCCTCGCCCATCCACGTTGTACCCACTGCGAAACGCCTCTGGTCACAGTTTTCACGAATAGCAGCGAACCGATTCGTGTGGAATTCGAACTTGATGAGCGTACCGGTTGGCGATATCCGGAATGCGTCCACCTTGGTGTTCGTCCTTTCGTTAACTCACTGTCCAGTCTAATCCAATCGGCAGCTCCCATAGCTCCTCTTTCAGGCGCAGCACACTACGTGGTCAACGAACCATGCCCAGCTGGTCGCGCTCAATCTGACCCATGCCGTCTGCGAATTCGAGTCAAGTGGAGTGTACACGGTGTTCGCCAAAGCTGATACTGGCTCATTCGTGAGTTTGAACTTTTTCCTCCACTGCAGTAGCTTTTGATGACATGACTGTTTCAGCTGCGCATTTCCCATTCGGCTTCGCTGGCAGCACCAGTGATGGCAGCAGTGGCCCTGCTGCTCTGTTTGATAGCCATGGTGCTGACGCTAGCAAAAAGGAGCACGACGGCTCGACTAATTCGACTTGGATTCATCGTGACCTTCGTCCTTAACGCTACTAACCTGTATTTCTTGAACAAAGCAGCTGTGAACCAGGTAGGCTTTCTGAAAATTCTGGTTACGTGGCCAGAAACGGCTATCCGCCAGGTAAGACGAGAGCAGGTCACTTTGCAGACCTTCTGTCCCGTACGGAACGCCGTCCTCTCGTTCTCCTCTTGCACACCGTTCGCTTGGCTGTTTCTCTACTCGCTTCACCTCTACCGTATGCTGTCAGATGGATCGACCAAGTCCAGGTATGAGCACACCTTGAAGCCTCTCTCACAGCTGTTCATAATCTCAAGTTCACTTAAAAGCTACTTGCAGCAGCCTTTCCCTATGCCTTCTTCTGGGCGTCGTCTTGCCTGGTGTGGTGTCCTTTGGCACATTCGTTGTCGCCACTCAATGCTCGATCGATCCACAGTACTGGTTTTCTGGATGATTTTCTACGGAGGGATGATGTATCTAGTGACGATTAACGGTTGTTATATATCCTGAACATAATTCTTAGAGAACTATTTTGTAAGAAATTGTTTTAATATAGTATTGTTGTAGTCTGCTATTAAAACTGCTTTAAAAAAAAGGAGCTGCCTCTCTCTGAGGGAGAACTGTGTCGACTTCTCGATCCTAATTTTCAAATCATCAACTTTCAAACATATTAAATGTTCATCCAAATGGCGGACCTGGTGTGGTGGGAAAAGGCGCCGCTCACTCATCACACAATCCGGTGATCAAATCCTGGAATGTGCGTCCTCTTGGAACCAAGCAAAACTTCCTCAAGGTGTACTGACCCTACATGGATAACGGAAGCACTGGACTTGTATTTTGCATAACCACCGCGCAAGTTATTGGATTTAGTTCCAGTCGGACCTGGATTTCCCTGAACAGGAGTAGAATGCATGGCGCATCTCGGAAGGGATTAACTAAGGCTGCAAGCTTTATTTTTTTCACTCTGTGCAGTGAATTTGTACTGAGCCGACGCAGAGTCAGCTCTCTGATCCCCTAATAAGAATAATTTCAATTACCGGGCTAATTCTGGAGAGCTATGATGCTTTGGCTTACACCTGATCAGTGATCTGTTCAACAAACAATACAGGCAGTAACACCGCCTCTTTTCACTGCCCCTCCCACTCCCATACCCTATGCGTCTGAACCTCAACAAAGTGCACCTCTTTTTGTTCTTTTTAGATGATGAGTTCCTAATATTTGAGTAGTACCTAGATTCAAATTTTCAGCTTTCCTTCTACGCCTCAGCAACGGCACTGCTTGTGTCGATGAACAAGCAGTTCGATGTCGTCGTCGCCAAATTCCATCTGAGGCGGGCTCTCGGGCCAGCTTTTCTACTTGTGAGGTGATGTTTTTCACTTTTGTTTGAGAGCTTTCATTCTAATCATTACCATTGAATTATTTGTAGTGCTCGTTGACTCTGCTGCACACCGTTGTCGGTGTGATCTCGCCACTTTTCCACGTATCTCATCCCTGAAGGTGAGCTTCATTAATCATTCCTTCATTTCTGTCAGCGTCATATCACGCGTTACACAGTAGGCTATATTACACTCCATATTCCTTCCAAGCATTGAAGAGCAACCATTTACCCGACGCTGAGGCGTGCGGTCGCGTCGCGGATGCGACCTAAACATTGGTGTAATTTTTGAGAGCGCAATTAAAGTGAATTATGGACTATTATTATTTATTATATAATATATATATTAGGTTATACACAAATCAGCCGCTTGGCTCTTATCGTATGGCAATATATGCAATAAGAAGCCACTGCAAATCGGGGTGACCAACATACACAAGAAAACTTGTGTAATACAACCCTAACAACCCTACTCTTTTCGGAACTGATGACGACCCCAACTATTAGTTTCCACAACTCAGCTCCGGCAAGACCGAAATACGATCCCCAATCGAACGTAATATCGCTGTCCGTACCCTGCGTCCGAGGCATTTTCAAATATAGTTAGGACATGAAAAGTTAGGTCGCTCGCGAGCGCTCGCATCGGACTTTCGGGTTGACTCTGAGTTCTGTTTCGATCATACTTCCTTAAGTTTATTATTCCACGGAAACTTATCGCAACATAACGTTGGTAGTCTGTCTCTCTCTTTTTCTCATATGGGCGGCCTATCAGGAGTAAAGGTAACGTACTGGTCTTGTTTGGCAGGCTGCCGGATTGATAAATCTCATGCTAATGCAGGACTCACCGAATACTACGGCTACGATGTGGCTGGACGCTTCCCAGAAAAGCAACATGGCCGAGTCGATAGCGGTCGGCTGCGAAACTCCTCTTCTGCCAGAAGGTAACGACAATTTAATTGAAAAGGACGAATTCACGATTAGAATGAAAGGTCGAAGAAGGAGAAAATTCACCTAGTTGTGGGGACCCGGACCTGCTGCGGGTGCGGACTGACAGCGCAGTTGGCAGCGAAGACTTGACCCTCAGCGAATCTACATGGCTCACTCTTGGCGCGGTTGGCGGAAGCGCCAGCCGAATGTCTAATCGCTCAAGCGGAGGTCTATACGCGGCGAGTGACTAGATAGCAGAGAGAGCGTCAGCGCTGAAGGGACCCAGCGATGTAGTCGCATGGGTCCCATTTCCCGTGTTCTGGCCGTTTTGCGTAGTTTTTCTTTCTTTCTTGTACCACCACCATCCTTAACTTACGGAATGACTTGCTTTTTCATTGTAAATTTCTCCTTCAAATTTCCGCCGAGCGGTGAATCGTATTAGATCTCTTGAGCGTACCGAATCCTCCGTCTATCGGCTAACCTTGTCCCTTTTCTGGATACACCAGTCAGCGTTCTTGCTCGCAGTCGTAGAGTAATTGAGACCACTGATTCGAACACCGACTTATGGGTTCGGTGGAAAGTTAGGTTTGTAATCCTAGACTGATTTACCACAAGCTAACTGATCTCAATTCAAAAGAAGATTTTTTAGCCTAGATGAGAATCTTTCCCAAATTTGACCCCGGTGGAGCGCGCTCACTAATCAAAGTGAGAACATTGTTGACTATACTCCTTGCAGTGTAATGACTAGATTTTAGTGTAATAAGTAAAAATCGTAAAATTCTGCCATGAGGATTATTTTCTGAGAAACTCATTGGTTTTCAGGAACGTACAGCTGAAGAACTGGGCGCGAAAGCGATTCCGTCGGAATTCCTTTCTGAGCGTCGACCCCGATCAGAGATCGAGATCGGACCGATAGCCGTGAAAAGGAGAACCCCGTTGCTAATGCTATTCTGTCGCCGGCTGACAAGATTCTCAGCGATGGTCTCGGCCATGTTTATGGTGAGGATTTACGCGCTTACTCATTGCTCTCAGCGCTTTGTAAACAGCAAATAGCGGGGTGATTCGTCGACGAGTGCGATTGACCTTCAGGTCTAAGGAAGTGCAAAATCGCTTGAAGATTTTCGTCTTTTGTTTGTCAACCTTTTTTCGCAGTGGGTCTGCTTCAAACTTCACTTTGAAAAATCTGTTGTGTTGAGCTTCCAGAGTTTTTCGGTAAAGATAAGTAAGCACGACAAGTGGCAAACCCGTGGGAGAGATTTCTTGCTTGACGCACAAAATACGATTTTTTCCCATCTCAAAAATACTTAAGGACCTCCAATGACGGACTATTTTTTTCCTCACATAAAAACCCGACAATTCCAGCAAAATCTGTTTCTTTGGTTACCTTCCTTTGAGGGAACTTTAGTTTTCGTTGGTCATCAGCGTCTCTAAAGAAGATTAGGGCAAAGAGTTCAAGGAAAATTCAGAGTAGGTAGAGCAGTTAAGTTCGCTTCGCTACTGTTCCTTCTAAATCATTAGACCAGACATCACATTCGTCCTTCTACTCCCTCCATCCGTGCGTTGCAGGTTGTAGTAAAGTGAAGGGGTAAAATAAATATAAATTAATAGATTATTTGTGAAAAAAATCGAAAAAAGTGAAGTTCATTGTGAACTGTAAAATAATGATTTCTGGGAGGATTGACAAAGGAATGAATGAAAGCCGCTCAATTTATGGATGGAAAGGAGTCTACCTCATTGCCAGTGTTTGGAGAAAGGAAATGCCCCAATTCGGTGGTTTCCGGTGAACCTAGGACTAGTTGACCAACTGGGTACGGGAGAACACCGACTGGGCTGGATCGCGATGCTTTGAATAGATATTGATCGTTCAAGAGCTGCGACCTCATACAACATACCTAAGAGCTTGAGTAAAGAACCCAATGTTGTAGCAATGAAGTTGAATTGACGGTTTGTAGGTAGGATAGGAGCTTTTGAACCTGTGCGTGCGTATTGCCCTAAACAGCCTTATCCCGCAGCCTGTCTTTGGAACAGGGTCAACTATTACGGTAGGCAAAATTTTGGGGTTTCTACGGCTCATTCATAGGGAACCTCTCATGCGACCCAATCGGCCCTTTATAGGGTAATCTATGACATACATGTGAATGTACACTCGTACTTCAAGCTTACAGCTTTTATTGTTCCAAAAGCTCACCTGACCGAGGGAAGGAGCCGCTGCTGAAATGGCAAGATGTACAAAACTTATCAATTTCATACTGTTCTCGAATTTCGTCCCACATTATACAGACTCCTCTTCATATGTCTACAAAAAAAAACAACAAAAATCCCTGCAATTAAGCCAATGCCTCTCCTCGCTCCCCCATATTCCAAAAATCACAAGTACAACCCTTTTGTCCGGATTTCCCCACAGAAAGTTGATTCTTAGCTGGATGAGTTCGTAGCGTAGAAAACCTTCAAATTCAGGAAACATGGGCACATTATCAACGAGATTCCGGACTGAAGAGGACGACGCCGATGACGCCTACTACACCTACACGTCGTCGAGGCGCTACAGGCAATCGACCTTCGCCAGGGACTAGAAAACACCGTTGTTGACTTGCACTCATGCCCAGTCTACCGCCCTTATCAAGATTCTAGTCATTACTTGTTCTGCTATTGTTCACACCTGTTTCTGTCGAGTATCTAGTTTTCCCCTCAGGACCAATGTTCTGTTAGCCCTTGCCTGTTTTCATATCAACTCTTGCCACTTTTCTATTCCTCTGTTCAAAGACATCAGGCTAACAACGATCTCATTATCCCATTGTACAGGAGCCGTGTTTAAGCTCATTTTCAGATCTCTTTGGCTGTTTGTAATGCTCAAAGTTTATTCCATAAATATAATTTCGATCAGCGTTATTTATTTCAATGAGCGGAGTTTACCCAGAGACTTTTACTGGATTATTTCAAGAGTGTTATGGAAACAGTATCCAAGGATACTAGTTTGCGCTACACAC